ATGAACATAGCGCCCGACCTGCTCACAGGCATTATGAGAAAAAACCAACACAGCAACAACAAAAACTCACCCCTACGCCCTGCCTCCCCTCCCCCAACCTAAGTTCTTCCACAGCCTGGGTTTTTTTTTGGGGGGGGGGTGTTGGGGTTTGAATGAGAAGAGGCCAGATCTGTTTCTTCCCCATCCAAGCTCAGCTCAGGGGATTTAAGAGGGAAAGACAGTGCAGAATGGAGGGTGTGGAGAGACGGACCCTGCAGGTCCCTTCGTTCTCTAAATAACCGATGGAAAAATGGCCACAGTGAACCAAATTCCCAAAGGAGATCCACCCGTGCCCCAGCAAGAGAAGCATGGAACAATTCTCTGAATTTGGAGGGAGCCTTGTGAGTTAGGGACTGTGCAAATTCTGCAACCCCAGAACTCAGGCTGGGGGGACCACAGGAGGGTAACAGGAGGCCACTCTGCCTGGCGTCGTCCCAGTGGGTGGACGGACGGGGGACTCCTCAGAGCATCTTGAGCTGAGAGCAGGGTTCAGCCGGATCAGGCCCTGCCTTCAGCCGAGACCGCTCTGCGGGTACCAGGCAGGATGGACTCTGTTCCCAGCATCTCTGCATCTCTGTCACTGGGGACTGCCATAAATACTTTTCCCTTCTCCGCCTGCAAAGCCTGCAAAGAGGAGGCTTGGCTGGCCAGGTCCATTCTGGATCCAGGGCGATATCTTTTAGGGTGTGTGTGGGGGGGGGGGGGAGAATATTTTAACATTTTATGGTCCAGCAAAAACCTTGGCACAGAGCTCTCCTTTCCAGCCTTTGTGTCTTGGAATGTGACCGGACTGTCCTGAGTGTAGAGTGCGGCCCCTGTGGCCTGCTTGAGTCCACCAGTCCTTCCCAAACCCCAGACTCGCTGGACTTGATTCACCCTCCCGGGAGGGGGGGTCTCTCCCTTGGCTTTCTTTCATTTCCTTGCCCCCTCCCCTCTAAATCTCTGCTCGATTTCACCCTAGGAGCCTGGAAATGAAAGCAGCACCAGCGACCACCGCCTCTGGGGCGGCCCTGCCCCTGCCCCCAAGGCCCGCGACGCCCTCCTAGGTACCAGGGATTTATGTGCGTTCGTCCGGGTCACTCTGCCTTTTTGTGTCAAGGACGCGCCGCCCGCGCGCGCTCCTCTCCTCCGCGGGAGAGCGATGGTTTTCCACGCCCGCCCCGAGCCTCCCGAGCCTGCCGCCAGCTCCCGCGCCACTCGCGACGCATTCGCACCTCGCAGGTGAGAGGATTGATTTGCTCAGGGCCGGCGGGCCGGGCTGGGCAGGGGCGCGGGGCCTTCCCGCCGCTCCCGGAGGCCGCAGGGGCCTCAGATGTCAGCGCGGCCAGGCCGGCCCGGCCACGGCCGCCTCTAACATTGAGCAACAGCGCCACCTCGCGTCCACTCGCTCCCCTGCACACCGGCCGCGGAAAAGGCCACCAGCTCGGCCAGCGACCCGGCAAGCAGGTCTCAGACTTTCGCCAAGGTGGCAGCGGGGCGGGGGTGGGGGAGGAAGGGGCTCCAGGGTGGGCGCAGCGGAGGGCGGGAGGTGGGGGTCGCCCCCAGAGGGGGGCTCCCTTGGGCCTGCCGTTCCTTTGTTTCCCAAGTTCTCGAAATAAACCCGTCAACGGTTCCATTTTGTCACCTTCCCTGCACATGAGACCCCTGCAAAGGGGCTGTCGCGACCCTCCCCTCCCCCCGCCCCACGCAGGGCTCGGAGACCCGTCGCACACGCAGATCCGCGCCCCGGAGCTCCCACGCCTCCTGCCCGGCGCGCACACTAGGCACCTCGCCGCTCTTACCCCGCTCCCGGCTCAGCGCGCCTTAATCCGCCGCAGCCGCCTGCAGGACTTTGGGGTGGGACTCTGACTTCTCCCGGCTGTTTGCCCCCTGGTCCTTAGCCCATCCCTCCCTCTCACGCGCTCTCTCCACCTCTCCCTCCCAGCCAGTGAGGTCCTGTTCTCCGTGGGCCATAGACAAGACATTCCTATAATCCGATTTCAAAGGAAAGAGTGTCCACCTTATTTAAACCATAAAACAATTAAGCCCAGACGTCTAGCCAGCTCCGCACTGCTGTTTTGTTCAGCCCCATTCAGAATCCAGCTCAGGGAGACAAACAACGCCATAAAAGTGGCATTTCGGGGCTGCGGAAATGTACCTATCCGCTGCCTTCCCAAGTGGAACAACCTTTAGGGTTTTGTGATGCTGACAAAGGAGAGAAGAGAGGTGGGGGGGGGATAGGGCAGGAGGGCGCTTGCTAGGCCCTCCCCCCCACCCCAGCTTTCCGCACGCCCATGCACATGCATGTTGTATTGTTGTGGCTTCGATTTACAAAATATAATAAAGAACAATTAAATCCTGACCCAGGCCTGAGGCTGAGCTGATACTGAACGGGCTTGGGGTGGAGGGGAACAGTATGGGATCCCGTGGGCCTGCTCGGGGACCCCCCTGTGCTGGCCAGCCTGCTCCAGGCCCTGCAACCCTCCTTCCGGCCGGCTGAGCGGGCGCAGGGAGCAGGCCGGCTGCACCGACCGACCGACACAGTGGAGAAGCGACAGAGCCCAGAAGCAGGGCGGGGTGGGAGCCCGGGGAGTCAGGCCAGCTCCGTTGGGAGACCAGGCTTCCTTCTGCGTCCTGGAGGCCAGAATTGAGCGACAGACAGACAGCCAGGGTGCCTCCGCGGGGTGCAGCACCGAGGCCAGAATCCCCCAGCAGCAAAAGGATCTAGGGGAGGAGCAAGGAAGAGACACAAGAGAGAGAACTCCAGGCCAAGCACCTTTCAAAAGGACCAAGGAAACAATTGCCTCTGGAATTGAGGAGGTCTCCCAGGCGGGAAAGGAGAGGGTGCTTCTACCAACGACAGACCAACCGGAAAGAGCAAACGTGGCTTGTGACTTTTGATTACTCCCTTCCGAATATTGCCTGGACAAAACGCTCGCCCCCGCCCACTTGCCCCAGCCCCTCCAAGTGCCCTGTCTAATGCAAAGGCGGGCTGGGGATTCAAGTGATGCAGAAGGGACTGGTCCCTCCAAGGACCTCCCTGGTCTTCTACGGGGTGCCCAGGGCGGAGCTGCACCTCCACCACGCAGGCAGGTCCCCACTGACTCTCTTTTCATGTTGGTATTCCCCAAGTATTCAAAGCAACACCCTGCACCCTTGCCAAAATGGGCAGCCTGAGATATTAAAGGGCCATATTTCAAGCAGCCTGAGCTTAATAGTTTCCAGATTGGGGGATTTCCGAGAAAGGGGGCGCTGGGCTGAGGCATACCCAGCGGCTTGCGTCTGCTTCTGATTAGCAGATGAAAACTGCTGGGTTTGGGCAGAGCACTCTGGGGTGCAGTGCAGCTGACCCACCCCCGCCATCCATCGGAGGGCTACACCCAGTTCCCCACATCTCCTTGAGCCAGGGGTCCCAATGACAAGGGAGACCTCCCACTCTTGCTTACTCCTGGATGAAGCTTCCTGGGGCCCTGACAGAGCCATCCCTCCCAAATCCACAGCCACTCAGCACAAACCCATTACCCCCAGACCAACATTCAAAGTTGAGACTGAAAAGGAAAAAAGAGAAAAGAACTAAGAGATGGAGAGCAAGAAGCTCAGAACGCACTGACAAGTAGAACCGGAATCTGATTCTGATTGTATTGGTCAGAGCTCTCTCTCCTTCCTCCCCTCCTTCCTCCCTCCCTTCCTTCCTTCCTTCCTTCCTTCCTTCCTTCCCTCCTTCCCTTTCCTCTGCCCCTCCTTTTCTTTCTTCCTTTCCCCTTTCCTCTCCCTTACTCTCAGGAAGTCCCGCGTGCTGACTTACCAGCCCCTTGAGGCCTGCTCACCCTTCCTCCTCCCCACGCACCACACACCCTCCCTCCCCTCAAGCCATCCCTCGAAGCTCCAGAGCCGCCAGGCAGGAATCCAGCCCGGGCCCTCACCCAGCACCCAACTTTCATCTTCACCTATCTCTTCCCTCCGATCTCATGTACTCATAAATTATTACAATTAATTACAGCCAAGGAAAATCATTTATGCCATGCCCCCACCCCCCTGGGCTCACAGAGCTACCAGGGAGCTCTCTCGTGGGCAGCCAGCCGGGGCAGGCACAAGCTGGGCCCACCCGGCCGCCTGTACTCCACCCCTGAGCCCGCGCCCTCAGCCCGCCCTGCCGGAGCGCGGCCTCAGCCCCTTGCCCTTCCCAGGGAGCCTCCTCTGTGGCTGCCGCCGCTCCCCCAGGACCTGGGCGCTTGCCTCCTGCACGACAGCGGCCTGGGAGCCACCAGGAGGGGAAATAACGAGAACTGGATGCGGTTGGGTTTCTGGTTTTTTACGTGACTTCGAGATATATTAACACAGAGCTGTTCTACCATAACAAACAGAAGCACATTACAGGACGGACGACGCTCGGATGAGGGGAGGCTCCGCTATGTACACGCCCGAGGCGCCGGCCTGCACAGCGACCGGCCCAGCCCGCGGCCCGCCGGCCCTCGCCCCCAGATCCAGGACGGGGACCCCGGTGTAGGGGTGTGTGTGTGTGTCTGTGTGTGTGTGTCTGTACAAAATCTGCACACAAAGCACCCCCAGGCCAGCCGGACAGCCCAGACCGAATGCAATACAGGGCGGGAAATAGAAATATGGCAATTCAAGTACTGGCTTCTCTGAAGAAAGGAGAAAAAAAATCTCATTTGTGTGTGTCATTTATTCAGTTGCGCTGAGGGAAGAGAATGCGGCTTCTCTCCCGGCCTCCTCCTCCTCCTCGCTGGGTAGAACTAACTCTAAAACCCGATTTCTCAATACTGAACCCTCCCAAATCGCAAGAGTTTTCCTTTTCCCCTTCCTTTTTTTTCTTTTTAGGCTGATTGGTTTTTCTCTATAATGCTCTTTCCTTTTCTTTTTCGTGCTCTCTCCCGCCTGGGTTGGGGTATTTTTGTGGGTTTTTTTTTTGTTTGTTTGTTTTGTTTTGTTTTGTTTTTCCCTTGGCTGTGCTGGGCCAGGGTTTAGGATTGCTCCTTGTCGGTTTTCTCTTTATTCATTTTTTTCATCTTCATCCTTCGGTTCTGAAACCAGATTTTGACCTGCCGCTCGGTGAGGTTTAGAACCCGGGCCACCTCATACCGACGGTCCCTGGTTAAATACATATTGAAGAGAAACTCCTTCTCCAGTTCCAGCGTCTGGTACTTGGTGTAGGGGCAGCGCTTCTTCCTTGTGGACCGGGCGTGGATCCAGTTGGCCACGGGGTTGCCTGCAGGGCCAAACACAGGCAGTGGTCAGTGGAGCTCCTTGGCAGCCCAGGACCCCTGCCAGTCCACCCCCAGGCTTACCCAGGGCCCCCAAACCCAATAATTGAACCTGAATTTGGACACATTTTGCTTTAGGAATTTTCCCCCTTCCTGCTGGTGTATTCTGCCCCTCCCCATCATCCCCTCTTCCGTTTGCCAGAACCTAAAACTCGAGGAACTCAGAGCTATCAAAGCCCCTTCAGTCTGGTCCTCAGTTTCAAGAGTAGTAATTGGAGAATATCCTCATAAAAAGTCCAAATTCCCAACCGTTTCATAGGCCCATAAACGCTTCTCTCTCTTGTTTTTTATTTTTATAGCGAGGTCTCTCTCCTCCCCACTTCCCTCCTCCTCTGCCCCCTCCCACCCTCCCAGCCCACGACCAAGTCCTGAAATTTCAGCAGTTCTGCTTCCTGACCCTGAGAGTCCCTCAGCCCCTCCGACACCCTCTCTCCAGCACCCATCTGCTCCGCTCTGTGAGTTCAACCCTGCTGAAGCGAATTCTCCCAGAGATGCTGGCAGGGGAAGAGCGTTTCTCTCCCCAGAGAGCTGCTGGCCTTGGGGAGGGCTCCCCCCTCTCTCAGCTCCCCCGTTGGGCTTCCAGTGGCCCCCTCCTGCCGGCCCCAGGACAGGCTCTGTAGGAACCAAGCCTCCAATTTCAGGTTTATGGGAGTTGCTGTGGGCAAGGAGGGAAGTCTTCCGAGGAGGGGTGTAATTAGGCCCTGGCCCCTCTCGGGACTGGAGGAAAGGGCTTCCTGCAGGCAGCCCCCTCCTGGGACTCCCCCAGCCACCTCCCTCACAGCCCAGGGGGTCGCACCCTCCCCTGCCAGCTCCCCTTCCTGGGGTCCTGCAGCTCCCACCTGCCCCCTCCCCACCTACTGCTGCCCTTCTCTGGAGTGTGTGTTTGTGTGTGTCTGTGTGTCTGTCTGCCTGCCTGGCTGTCTGTGTGTCTGACTCTCCACCCTGGGGAGCCGGCTCCTCTCCAGCAAGCCTGTCCCTGATGGCCATCTCTCACCCTCCTTCCTGCAGACCTTCAGAAGAGGTCTCTCAAGTTGAAGGGGACTGGGACCCCACTTCTCTCCCCCAACTCTGTGAGTTCCCAGGCTGTGGGGGGAGAAGCCCCCGCGCCTTCTGTTTGCTGTCTCTCTAAGTGAGGTCCCCCCCTCTCCCCTTGCTGGCTGGGAAGTAGGGGGTGAGGTTTCTCCCTGGGGACAGTTGCTCTCTCTCCCCTGCCCCACTCTGGGGCGGAAAATGGACCTCGCTCGCTCGGTCGCCTGCACCCCCGTGTGCGTTTCTTGGAAAGTAGCAACTGAGCCAGAGAAGCCGGGTGGGGGGTGTTTGTTCTGGGCAGAGCCAGCCGCGGGTGCCGGGGGTGTCTCCCTCAGCAGGGCCAGCTGCGGGGCGCCGGGGCGCCTCTCTCGGCAGACCAGCTCCTGGGCAGGGAGGGACCCCCTGCGCCGCCCCCCGCCCCAGACCTCCCGCCCCGGGAGCTCCCCGAGGTCATTCGCTTTTATGGAGCCGGCCTCCCGCCCGCCCGCGCCCGCCCGCGCCCGCCCGCCCGCGCCGGGCCGGGCCGGGCCGGGCCGGGGCCGCTCGGCGCCCCCCGCGCCGCCCGACTTACTGGGGTCCAGGTCGGCCTTCTCCTCTTTGTGCTTGGCGCCGCCGGCCAGCGCGTCCGCCTCGGGCGAGGGCAGGCCCTGCGGGGCGCGGTCGCGCAGCTCCCCGGGCGAGCCGTACACGTAGTCGGGGTAGGCGCGGGCGTCGGCCGGGCCGCAGTCGGCGCGGCGGCCGGGGTAGGCGTCGGGCTTGAGGCCGTAGGCGCGGCCGCCGCCGGCCGGGAAGCCGGGGAAGGAGACGGCGCCGGGCAGCGGCTCGAGCCAAGTCCGCATGTAGCGCGCGTCGGCGCCGAGGTGGGGCTGGGGGCCGTACGGGTGGTACACCACGGACGACTGCGCGGGCACGGGCGCCCACGACGTGCCGAACACGGCGGGCTTGGGCGCGAAGCTGCAGGACGGGAAGTCGCCGCAGTCGGGCACCAAGCCGCTGGGCCGGGCGGCCGCGGGGTGCGCGCCCGTGGCCGGGAACCTGGACGCCAGCAGGTCCTCGTTGTCGTGCGAGATGAGCGCGTCCACGTAATAGTTGCTGACGGGCCCCGTCGCCGACATCGTGGCGGGGTTTTACATACGTGCGATTATTGTATGAACTGTATATGTACTTTTTATCTGCTCACAGAACAATCAAGGCAGGTAATTATTTTTCCAGCCTTTTCCCCGCCGCTCATTGGCTCCCCGGCCCCCACGTGATCGTATTTACCCAAAAATACGGCGCGGATCAATGCGCAGGGGCTTTTTTCCCGGCCCGGCGCCCCCCGCCCCCGCTCGCGGCCGGTCCCCGCGACCCGCGTCCTCCGGGGCGCGGAGCCCCGGGCCCGGCGCCCGCCGCCGCCGCCGCCCCCCCCCCCCCCCCGGCGGCGCGCGTCCCGCCAGAGCCCCGCCCGCCGCCCCCCGCGCGCACGGGGCCTCCCGCCCGCCCGCCCCCCGCGGAGCATCCTCCCGGGGTGCGGCGCCCGGCCCCGCAGCCGGGGGCCGGGACCCCCGGGCCCGCGGGTGCGGGAGCCCCCCGGGGGCGGAGAGGCCGGCGAGGTAGGTGGAGGAACTATTTCTTGACGTAATCCGTCTCTGTCGCCCCGACGCTCCCGCAGTCTCCGCGCGAGCGAGCCGCGACCGGCGATTGTCAGTTCGGAACGTGGCTTTTAAAAATGCGCTTTTAAATAGTGTGTATGTATGTATTTCTCTCTGGAACGGCGGCGGCGGGCGAGGGAGGGCGGGTGGGAGGGGACTGGGGGAGCTGGGGTGGAGGGAGGGAAGGAGGGGAAGGGGAGCGTCCTCCTGCCACTGGCCAACTCAGCCCCCGAGTCGGGTAGGGAGGCTTTGGGGGTAGGTGGCCCGAGGGTGGGAGGGGTAGGACCCGCGTCTCGGACACCTTGGGCACCACAGCTCCTGGCTCTGCCCTGGCACAGTTATGAGAGCGCCTTTATTTGAAATTTATTGTCTCTCTCTCTCTGTCTTTTTTTTTCCAGCCTGAAGAAGTGGAGAAGAGCCCTGCACAACTTAAGAGGGGCACCCCCATCCTGTCTTCCTGCCCACCCTCCTCTGCCCCCCCCAGCCTCATCTCTGCGACAGCCTGCCCCCCCCTCCACAAAACAGAAGTCACTCTCTGGGTCGTGTCTGCAGAGAGCCAGGGTGAGAGCGGGCAAGGCGAGAGAGCGACCTCGGTCGTGGGCAAGTAGCTTGTTTTTACGTCCTTCAATAAAATTTTTATGAGGATCATTTGATTGTTCATAAATGTGTCTTTCATTAAATAAAATTGCAGGCTGTTTTTGGAACGGGAAAAAAGCAACGGAGGGATGGGAGAAAGCCATCTCTTTGGGGTCGCAGGCAGGAATCCTAGAGGGGCCAGTGTGACGGTAAGGGAGACCCAAGCAAGGTGGGCTCCTGCCCCCACCCCCAGGAGTTGGTGGCTGCCCTCCTTGAATTTGGGGTCTGTGGCCGGCCCTCTGCCTGCCACAGTCTGCCCTGGGGTGCTTTGGTGGAGGTGGGCTGTGGAGAGCAGGAAATTCTCCCTGTGAGTGCAGCAGAGGGGGCCAGGAAGGCTGGCTGGGGGTGGGGTGGGCAGCCAGGCAGGTGCTGTCGCAGACACACCACGCACCCAAGGCGGGGCAGAGTGAGTGTGGGGGGGGGGTGGATTTTCAGGGGCAAAGGCAGGCGTCCCAGCCAGCGCTGGGACGAGAGGCAGGAGCTCGGGCTGAGGTGCAGCCTCTGGAGCCGGGGGAGGCAAGAGCCTTCCCAGACGGAAGACAAGACAAGAAGCCTGTCCCTTCCCACTCCTGTGCCCAGGAGGGGACCAAATGCAGGGGGTGGGAGGGGGGTGTTGTGAGACCGATTTTCTTCTGCACCTCTGTGACCTGTCTGCTCTGGAGTGGAGAGGGGTTAGGAAGGAGTGTCCCAGAGAGAGAGAGAGAGAGAGAGAGAGAGAGAGAGAGAGAGAGAGAGAGAGAGTTGGTTGGGGAAAGTTGGGGGGAGGGCAGGTCTGTAGCCCCCACGGTGCTGACCCCAGCTTCCCAGGCCCCCTCCCCCTCTGGGTTCTTTCCTGTTCGGTCAACCGGGGCTGGGATTTCAATGCTAGGGGTAGGAAGGAGAAGTCCCTGGCTGCAGGGAGGCAACCTGGGGCCTCAGCCTCCTGCCCCACGGCTCCAATTGTCTTCCCTTTCCCTCGGTTGGACTCGTCTGGGAAATCCAAATTACACCAAGAAACAGAATGTCTCTTTGGCCTTGAAGGAGTCAGGTTAGCTGTCAATCAAAAATTCTCCCTCACGAGTTCAAGGAACAGACTGCCAGGAGGCTCCCGGCCCCTGCAGAGGCTTTCTGCAAACCCCCAGCCCTGTCAGCACCTCCCCCAGCCCGGCGGCTGGGGACCCTGACCAGCTCTCTCTCAGGCGGGCGGCTGCTAGCAGCCCTGAGTAGACATGTAGCCTTCAGCGGGCCGGGGGCCAGACTGTGACCAAGAGGACATCGGGGGACAGAGCCTGAGAGAGACAGAGACCGAGACAGCCGGGACGCATTGACTGAACTGGCGCCAGGCCGGAAGGAAAGGAGGAAGGAAGGGAGGGAGGAAGGAAGGAGGGAAGGAAGGAAGGAACCAAACAAAATCAGCATCAAAAGAAAAAGGGGGGAGAATTCAAGAATCCAGGGAGGAAGATGCGGAGAGACCGGAGAGTGGCAAGGCAGGCAGAGCTGGAGACGCAGGAAGGGCGGCAGCAGGCAGGCAGGACGGGCCAGGGCGAGGGTGGAAGAGCTGCAGCCGTGGCATTGTGCGCCCGCTGCCTGGCCGGGCCTCTGCCGCGGGACTGGCTCCGGACGCCGCAGGACACAAAGAACAAGGCCTCCTCTCCTGCTCCTCAGGGGACCTGATCCGCGGGGACTACCGGCCTCCGGGACCGAGAGCCCTCTCTGGGCTCCCGGGGTGAGCCGCGCTCCAGTCAAGGAGCAAAGAGGACCAGAGGAAGGAGCCGCTCTCACGGCCGCTCTTCCTCCGCGTCTGCTCCCCGCCGCTCTCCCGGAGGAAGGATGCCCCCAGGACCCTCTGCTCGGGGCTCTACCGTGAGGGGAGCTCCTGGGCCAGCCAGTAAACAGAGGCCCCTTCCTCTCCCCCACCCTTCTCCCTCCACCTTCTTCCCGCGAAGGCTCCTGAGCAAGCTCCCTCTCTGCCGGTCCACACCACGAGGCAGGCAGGCAGAGGCTGAAGCCCGGATCCCCCCAGCTCCCATCTCTGCTGCCTTCACATTGCCCGTGAGGCGGAGGGGAGCCGGCGCCTTCAGTTTGGAGCAGGAGTTCAGAGCCTCCTGGCGCAGGCAGACACAGCTGTGGGCTGGGACGCAGGCCTCGCCCACAGCCCCCTCCCCACAACGCCTCCTTTGGCCTGAGCCTAGCCCAGAGACACAGCCCCGAGGGAGGGGGGGAGGCTGGGAGTCCCTGAGTTTGCCAGGCAGAGCACCTCGCTTTCCACAATGCTGAGGCTGATTCCCATTCTCTGCATTTGGAAGTGGGGTGGCAGTTAGGTCTCACCAAATATCCAGGTACCTAAGGTGTGGGGGGGAGGGGGTGTAGAAAGGCTATGTGTGCGTGTGGGGGGGGGGTCTGAGAAGGAGGGGCTTTTTTTTCCCGGTTCTCTTGCTGCTGCTGAATCTCCTGCCAGATTCCCATCCTCCTCCTCTCCCTCTCCTTTCAATTTTCCTCTGCAGACCCCAGGGACCTCAGACCACTGCAAGCCCTTGGTGGGGTGGGGTGGGACCCCCAGCATTAGCTTCGCCGAGTTTCTCTGAACATCCTTCGGACCCCAAAAGACTGCACTGGGCACAGTGAGCCCCTTCAGGGGGAGGGGCCCCTGCCCGCATCATCTCAGCGCTGGGAGTCCCAGCGACCACCCAACCCAGCTGGCCCACCGTGGGAAGGGCGAGAGAAACACAGGTTCCAGCCATGCCCTCCCCGCCCCCTGCACCTCTCTTTCAGTGATCACAACTGCCTCCTGTTCAATCCACACCGTCAAGTTCGGAGGAAATTTAAAACAGGCTTTTTCCTTCGCCCCCACGAGGGGCATCCCGGCCGCCCCAGACAGAAGCGGGCTCCCGGCCTCCTCGGCCGCGCGCGCCCCAGGAGGAGGCCGTGCTCCATTTGCTTTCATTTTCCTTCTCCCTCTGAAATGGGCTCATCTCACCTCTCCGCCGCCCTCTCCCCCTCCCCGCCCCCTCCCCGGTTCCCCTCGACGTTCCCCCCTACGCGCCCCCAAGCCTCTTTGTTGGGGAAAACACACCCACACACAACTGCTCCTGGCTAAGGCCTGCGCTGGAAGCAGACACTGAATTCTCCTGGCCTGCCGCGAGGAGCCCGCGTCCTGCCCCCACCCCAGGTGGGTACCCGGGACCCCTGCACGCCAGGACTCAGGCCCCTACACAGCCCAGAGGAGCGAACCCCCAGGGCCTGTGAACGTGGCCCTCTCAACGCCACGGCCTGCGTTCCCGCCGCCCCCCACCGCCCCGCCGCAAACGGGGCTATTTCCGGATCCCCCAACCGGGTCCAGTTTCCCAGCCTGGGGAGTGGCTGCAGGGGCGGCGCCCCCAGCGCTGGGGGTGCTCTCTGGCCCGCGGGCGCCTTGTTACCTGATCTTTGTGTGATGTGTGTCGCAAGGAAATTTGCAGTGACTTTGGAGCCCAGACTGAGGAAGCCGAGGTGGCAAAAGGAGAGACAATAACGGGTCCGAAGTACAATTAAGGGGCCCGAGCCGCTGTCTCTCCCCCGCCCCCTGCCCGGCTGGGAGCTGTCTGGCCTCCAAGCTCGGGGCAACCCGCGAGCCGTGGCGGAGGGGAGCGGGGGACCCGGCCTCCAGCACGCCGGAGGGGCGCTCCCTTCCAACTCGGGGCGCAGCCGCCAGCCCCGCCGACTTGCGGAGAACGCAATGAATGAAAGCGCACATTCCGACGAAACCTCCCCAGGGCCTTAGGCTTCCGCCTCGGGAAGAGGAGCCTGGGGTTGGGGCGCCTCGGACGGACAGACAGACGGACGGACAGGCAAGGCGCGTCTCCGGAGGCGCACGGACTCACAGCAGGAGT